TGAGTTCTTAAATATTTGGAGTCTTGTTATTATTGATTGGGACTTTTGTAATAATTCTATTTCAATGAATAGTTCTTTTGATAATATATCACCGTGAAGAACAATTATGAACTTTTTCGTTCGTTTAGCTTGAATAATCAAATCTTCGGCTATTATAGGAGACGTTGTCTCGTCAATGTAAACATATTTATAAGGTGTTAATGGTATAAAATTCGATAAACCTTTCACTTCTTTTGATTTTCTAGATTCAATATCTCTTGAATACATATTCAATAATTCTTCTTTTGACAATTGAATGGCAATTTTAATATCTCTCAATTGATAATGATTGATGTAACTCGATATTAAGATACCAATTAACATAGATACAAGTCAACCAAAAATCATATTTATCCAGTGTATAATTATCGAGTCACTTTTTAACGAAGTTGTAAGTTCACCATTACTGCAAGTAGAATGAATATTTAATGAGAAATATAAGATGAATAGTAGATATGAATATAATAATTGATTGATCATTTTTTGTTTTAAATCTAAAATAATAAACTCATAATTAATACAATTTCGAATCAGAAGACTTGAGAGGTGACTCGACAAACACTATGAATTAAAATGATTATTTAAAGTAGAAGAACTATGTATTATATACGATGAAGAGAGTGGAAGAGATAAGAATAATAATTGTTAAAGTAGAACGTGTTGGAATGTTGTGATCATATCAGATAATGAAATATGCTCGTAAGACGTGTTCTTATGTAGTTGATTCATTTGGAGTAAGAGTAAATTAAATATCTAAAACAAATCAAAGAGAATTTTTGAAAAGTTGTATACATACTTCTACAGATACAATAAAAACTTTCTATTCATATATATATATTAATTATGAAGAAATCAAACTACAATAATAGAAGCATTAAGATAAGATGAAGTATATTGTTTTAGAATAAATTGATAGCAATTGCTGGATAGACTTTTCTCATTTGATCAATATGTTATTGAACGAGCCAAAAGAATATTCGATGAATAACAATGTTTAGAATTGAGTTGAATTTTTAATCCATACTGTTTAAAGGTAAGATCTTCATTGAGTATTGTTAACCAAAGTCGTTGAAATTTTTCATTAAATTCACATCTCGAACCCCAATCAAATAGATAATGTAATTGAATCAATTTCTGATTGGTTTCTAATAGTTTTTCTTCTTCTCGTTCACGTTTTCGTGTCATAATACGACTGAATAGTTCTGTACGTAATGAACTATATTTCTATCGATTCAGATCCGTTAGTTCTATTAGGCTGAAATTAAATCGTTTAAGAAATTGTCTCCAATGATATTCAACAAAGTCTAATGCATATCTATTGGCAAGAAAGATAGCTTCTATATAGATTCGTTCATCTTCGAAATCTTCAAATGAACAACAATAATGAAAGGCATGTATGAATACATATCGAAGCCATTTTCGATGTGATAATCGTGCATAACTCGGTATATAAAGTAATAAAAATGGTCGAACGGTTGAATCATGATAAACATTCGTAAATAGATTACCGCGTTGATTATCGATGAGACAATCCATAAAATGAACAGTTGTAGCAATAAATGATGTCAATTGGGCACCCGATGGTAATAATCGTTCAAGTTCATCAAAAATTGTTTGTAATTGTTCGATCGGTTCGTACCATGTCATTAAACCGATATTATGATATCGACCATAAAATAAATCATTCAAACGACTTTGTCGAACAAGAGGAAATTGCCAATCATACAAATAGATGTCACCTAATAGATCTGTTAATGGTAAATTTAATGGGCAACCTTTAGTAAATCGATAAATTTTATCATCATACGAAAAGAAATTATTTCGTAAGACTAGTGCAGTTAATTCATGAGTAGCATCATATGATAATCGTTTATGACGAGTACTAACAAGTGGATGTGCCAGAAATGTATACAAGGCTTGAAGAAGGCCTGCATGTGTTACATTATCATATAGACCATAAATTTAAAATGTTACAAATTGTGTTTCTGGTAATAATGAATCTAATTTTATAGAATAATATCGAAGTTTATAGATGAAATCATGACTATTAAGAAATCTTGTAGATACAGATAAACTATTGAATAAAGGTCGTAGAAGATCATCAAGATATTGTGCTATTTTTTGTATTGGAGAATATTGATAAGATGAAAATTTCGGTTAAACTGTCATGTTGACATCTTCATTTATTTCTGGTAGAAAATAAAGATAGGGAAGTTTCATTGTTGACTTTTTGCTAATAGTGAACTTTGTTCGATAATCATTATTGATCAATCGTTTTTGATGTAATGTTTAAAATTGTGAATTAATTGAATTGATAAGTTCATCCAGTTGTTGTTGTTCTGTATTAATACCATCTAACATACCGATAAATTCATAAGATGTTGAATGTTGAACAAAATCATCGGATTTCTGTTGAAATTCATTCAGTGGACCTAAATAATAAGTATTATAATTATCAGCTGTTCGACGTAGAATCAATTGATCTTTATTTAATTGATATCTTATAGATTTGATCAATTGTTTTTCATAAAATATACGTTCTTCTAATGTCGATGGAATCGATTGATTGAAAGATGCATGAAATAGATTTTGAATTTCTTTTTCAAAATTCATTCGACGAGATAAATCAACTGGATATTTAGTAAAAACTCGTGTAAGTTCTCGTCGAAGTGATGCCATTTGTTTTGTAAGAATATGATCCATATTTAAAGAAGATTCAGATAGAATATGTAGTTGACATGGTAAAACATAACTGGGTCCACGATGAAGCAATTCCATTTGTTTCGATGATAGATGATGTTGATGAGAATCACGACAGAGCGTTGGTGAAAAACGAATTTTTGATTTGTCAATAAAACTACTCCAACGATGAACCAAATCTAGTTCTTGACCGTCGGAGCTATGTCGAAAAAACGAAGCTTCAATTTGTAGAGACACATAAGACGTTCGTCTAAATTTCTAAAACGTCGATATAAAATATCGACCATTGAACGATGTCATTTTTTGTGTGATGCACCACGAACGAGATATTCTTTCATTTCAGCTAAATCCTTGTCAAATTTCTCTTTCCATTCATTCATTTTAGCTTCGGCTGCTGCAATATAAATTAATATCATATCAGATCGAGCTCGTTGTAAAATTTTCTCACATCTATCACTTAAACGTTGACGAGTTTTTGTATCATTAATAGATGATAATGTAATTGGTTCTGGTATTTGTAGTGAATCGAATGATTTTGGTAGATGATTATGAGCAATACGTTGTTTCAATACGGCTACATCAACTTTAGTTGTTTCACGTTCGCGTTTTGATTTGCAAAGATTTTCAAAGACTTGTCTTTGATATTCACTATAATTTTCTAGATAGAATTCTGATTGAATTAATCGATCTTTATAATCATATTCAACAACAGCAATGAGTCCTTCGACTGGTACTCGATATAAAGTTATGCCATGTTGTTGAACAAATTTAATAATGATCTGTTCGATTTCATCGGTTAAACAATAACTTAGACGTTGTTTAATGTCTTGTAAATTAGTTTCATAATATGTTTTTAGATTTTGATATTTAATTAAAACTCGATGAACATAATCGACACATGATTCATGATCAATATCATTTGGATTCGTCGTTGTTGTATGTCCATGTTTAATCATTTTTGCTTTTACTTCTGCCGGCCAAATTTGTAAATTTGATACTACAACTGATGAGTTGACTGCTGTTATAATACGTTGTTCGCTTTGTAATTCACCTGTACCAGACTGTAAATATATTATCCATAATGATTTATCAACATTAACACATTCAAGATTATCGATGATAGCAGCCATGGTTCGTGCATCTTCAATATTCATAGAATTACCATTCTTCTTAAGTACAGGACTTATTGTTTCTTCGAAAGCACGATAAGCAGTTGATAAATATTTTGGAATTTTTAAATCTAATGCTTTTTTTTCTTTGTCATCTAAATCTTCGTTTTTATTTTCATCTTCTTCTTCTCCTTCTTTGTCTTCTTCTTTTCCTTCTTGATTTCCTTCTTCGTTTCCTTCTTCGTTTGTTCCCAACTTCTTTCTTGTTGATCCTGATGATGATAATAATGTTGTTGCAAAGGTTGTTGTTGCTGTTGCTGTTGATGGTGTTAATGCCGGTCGTTTCTTTGCAGTTGTTGTTGTTGTTGTTGGTTCATTCGAAGACTTGTCTTTTGTTTTTCCAGAAGCTGATAGTTGACTTAATTTTTGTGATAAATGTTCTTCTTCTGTTTGAATTTCAATGGCAGGATCATTCTCGAAATCGAATAATTGTGCTGCAATGAAATCATCGATGTCATCATCATCACCATTCTGGGATCCGATACGCCAAATAAGTCTGCTATAGTCAATCTCTAAAAAGCTTTTTTTTGCACTAAATAGAATTTTGATCATTTTTTGAATTCTCCCGTCGGTTCCGTCAATAATTTCGAAACGCAGAGTCCAATTGAATTTCCTCGATTAGTAGGATGTTATCGGATTCGATAGAATTCGTCCTCAGATTAGTCAACCTGGATAGTCATTTAGTTGTGCTGTTATATGCGATGTCGAGAGAGATCGTTTTGTTTTTTTACGATATGCCATGAATACG